TCATGTGTATACCCATTACTGATCTGTTAAGTCATTCCCAGGTATATCCATGAAAATGGAAGGCTGTAAAACACACTGGTGCCAGTTTTCTGTGTAATAAAATATGTAGGTTGAAATTTGGCATTTTCTTTAAAAATGGCTGACCGGATGGGGGCAGCACTGGTCAAATGACTAGCAGTGAAAGTGTTAAGAGCCCGAACACTTGCGTAGCGTCTTGGGAGGTTGATCTGATAAACAATCGCATAATATCGGAATTCTTGCAGTGCCATAGAAGGGTGTCCCTGAAAGCATCTCCGGTGGATAACCCTGAAGCCATACTATATTGCAGTCGGTTCCAGTTCTCTTCTTGCGCAAATTACATTAGACGACCAACTGCTGCTACTAATCTAAGCCTTTCCGTACCAAAATAACACGCCATGTCTATAAGCAACTAAAGACATAAAACTAAAAAATACCAACACCTTTCAATTTTTTCTTTCTTCAACATTTGTTCTTTTATTACCAAATTCTGCAGTGTGGAATCTTTCCTCTTCGAAAAGTCTCCGTACATCCTAGCACTCTGGGAAATTAATTTTAATTCTTTAATCTCTTTTACTGATTTCTCGATTCTTGGCTACCTTTCTCTCTTTAGAAAGGACTCTAATATCCACATGAATGGCCTGGGAGTTTATGTCCGCGAAAATATCCCGCTGTCTAAAGAACTGTCTCTTGAATCTCCTGAACTTTCTTACATGTGTCTCCGTCTCTCTCTGTTAAACTCAGTCATATAGTTCTTCTCTCTATATATAGTTCCCCTTTCTCTAGTGAATATTGCGAGCTAGATATATCTTTTATAACTTTATATAAAAGAATTCGTTAAAATTTTATTCATATACAGGGTGAATCAAAAGCAACTCCCTATTTTACGTATGAGAGTCCTGATTTAACACCTTGTGACTTTTTTCTTTGGCGTTGGTTAAAGAAGCAAGTCTGCTATATCAAATCAAGAGTTTCGAAGAACTTGAAATGTGAATACAATAATTTATGTCTTCCATACCTTAAGAATTTACTGTGAAATCATCAGACGCGTTTCCCCCGGCAGATTTTGGTAGTGAAATCAGGTGCCCGTTTAGAATTTTAAATAAAACTAAACGCTTTCCTCTTATATCTATTTCTTTTAAAAATTATAACTAATAATTTATAATTAAAATTATAGTTAATAAATAAATTATAAGTATTTTAAAATAGGGAGTTACTTCTTAATAACCCTGTATACTATTGGAAAAATGAAACCTATATATGTCGTAATTTTGAGGTAAATATTTATGTCAATAATAATAATAATACCTTTAAATCATGAATCTGCATTTCTCTGTCCTCTGACCTATTACTGGATGACCTCGCCATGGTAAGGCCCATAATACACATGTTTTGGGTTTTTTTTTTATATAACTTTGAAGATTTAAAATAAATGTATTTCTTGAAATGTTTACTCATATTTACTATCATAAAAATTAAACGTACATAGATTTGAATTTTGAGGTAAAAACTTGTCATTAAAGAACGTATTAAACGATATTTTGGGCGCTATTTTTAAATACTTATTTTTCACACTGTATATTGTAAGCATATATATCGGAATGAGAGAGCAGATTTCGAATCCCCTTCCATGTCCGTTACATTGACTTAAAATACCCTTGGTAAAGGTGTGAATCCTTCTCCTCGCCAGCTATGGGTTAAATAGTAAACCAAATATTTGCTCTGTTTAACTTGTTAATGCTGTATACACTCACAAAGAATTATTCTTACAATTCAAAATAGTTCATCTTTGAATAACCCACAAATGTTTGATAAGCCGTAAAAATAAAATCAATCAATCAAGACGATTATTAATCGGAAGTAACTCAGCCTTTAAAGGCCCTTTGTTGGGCGTAAGCCTTCCCCAGATCACGGGAAGGAATGGGCGCATATTCTACTGCGCTAGCCCAACGTGTGTTGGTATGGACGTGAGTGACACGCTTGGGCTATCATATCTCTTTTCGATTCATGATCGCCTTAGTGAATTTAACGATACGACTCTCCAAATTCTAATACCAAACCAGCATCCATAAACACCATCTCCACCTGCTATCCACAAGCGGTCACTCGTATAGGTAGAGACAAGTCCCAACGTCACTTAAATACGGTGATCTGACGAGAACCTGTGTTTCAACTTGATATGACAGTAAGCAACGGTATCTCAATATACCATGCAATAAAACCGACTTATACACGAACGTGTACGAGCAAAATCACTCACCAGTGTTTACGGAGTTTGATTTCTGATCACCATTGATTAATTTCAATTTTACCGTTTAAAGAAGAGTTATAAGAGAAAAGGATAAAGAAAAAGAGAGAGAGAAAAAGAAAATGGACGAAAACAAAATGAAACCTGCATTTAAAAATTATTACTTCGTCTGTTAGCCAATAAATTTTGCTACCGGCCTGCTCTGCATGAAGTTCAAAAAAGAATTTTAGTGCGATGTTATCCGTTCGCCTTAACATCTCACCGCAACCAGAGAATGCTGTTAAATCCATTTGTTCCTATTTCCTAGCACCCGATTCGAATATGCGAGTTAATGATTTAGAAAACTATTAGAGTAATTTCATTACTTTAGCAACGTGCTTCCAATAATATTAGTACTCCTAATCGACAAATAATATATGTTAGTGCTCCTCCGAACATATAATAATGCATTTTAAATATCTTCTTTTGTTTTCGATTTTTTTTTATTTTTTTCTTTTCTCTTTTTTTTTTCTTTTTATATTTTTTCACTCTGCAGTGTCAGGTTCATCTTCCCGCTGGATTACTTCCACGCATTCGCGTATTAAATGCATGGTTTATTTTAATGGCAATTAAAGAACAGATATAAACACGTGGTGGTCGAAATATGCAAAGGTCATTGTGGACATATTTTCCAATGAGACTTACATATTTTGCAATGAGACATAAATATTTTCCAATGAGACATATTTTCCAATGAGACTTAAATAATTTCCAATGAGACTTAAATATTTTCCAATGAGACTTACATATTTTTCAATGAGACTTACATATTTTCCAATAAGAATTAAATAATTTCCCATGAGACTTAAATATTTTCCAATGAGACTTAAATAATTTCCAATGAGAAAAAAATTCAAAATTCAAATCCCACTTATAAAAAAAAGGAAAAACATTTAAGTCGTCAAGGCAATCCAAGAGAATGTGACGAGGCAGCTGCTCGATATCCCAAAAAATGGAAGTTCCGGGAATGCTCCCATCAATGGAAACAATGCTGGATAATCTCTATGACTTCAGAAGAGGACTACTTCGAAGTAGGTTAAATCCCGAATTGATATATGCTGTAGTTGTATTTTTAAAGCAGCAGACCTGATACTTTTTTCCTCGACCCTCAAACGTAGAGTCAGAATTACACCTTATTTTTGGTGACACCCAGAAAATAGAAAATTTAATATTCACAATTCATATTGAAGACAAAAGAGTGGATGGTAAAATAGGTAAAGAGAAGAAAACTGAAATAAAAACACTATTTCGAGCTAAGAAGGCTGGGATGTTTTGGAGAGCCATGATCACCCAGGTCAGGAAGGAACACGGCAAAAAACAGCCTTCCAGAATCTAATCAAAATATTAAAAGACATGAAATATATCGTTGGGAACAATGATAATATTGGACAACTGTTATGTAATATCAGTCCCCCTTTTGCTAGACTATTTCCTCACAGATAAAGGGAAGATATGCGGCATCAGATATATGGTTCTACAGAAGGATTTTGAGAATATGTGAACAACGAAAAAGTTTTTAGGCAAATGGAATTAAAAAGGAGACTTAGGATCTGAAAGTAACAGTCGAAAATACTGGGATACGGAATCAAGAAAGAGTGCTTGGAGAATTTGACACTCAGAGGTCATATTGACAGCAAGACGATTAGATGGAAACTATGAATAATCTAGCTAACAAGCTTGTGTAAATGGAGGCAGAATAGGAAGTGAAAAGAATAGTCAAAAAGAACAATTACTCAGAACTATAAAGGACAGGAAGTTTTGGAGAGTCATGATCGCTCACTTCCGGAAAGGTGTTACGAGGCCCCATTTTGTCCTACTTCTTTATATTTATACTATAAAATACAAAACCTAACTTAAAATGCGGACTTAAATCTGTAGCTACTAATGCCCTTTTTACCATACGAAAAGCTCCCATTCACCAAACCCTTTAGACTTTGTAATAATAGAATGGGACGTTCTAGAAGCCTCTAGAAACTTCTACTGGGTTCGAGAGCGTACAAAAACATATAAATAGGAGTTCGTACCATCTAGCTAGTTGCCTCATGAACCCACAGCCACGACTATTGAGGTCAACTCCGGTCCTTTTGATTCAAGAACAAAGCTTCGACCGAAAGAATCTAAATTCCTACAGTCCTCGAAAAGAAAAGACTATCAGTAAATACTTCACCCTTTTTCCTTGATATTATTAACCAAAGTCTTTTATATTATATATATATGTGTATTAAATAAACTATTTTTAAGAAGAAAATAATATAATTCTTGGACTAGCGACGAATTCCCATTCGTCGCTTTAATCTTAACTACAGTGGATTTTCTCTCCCATTCCCTTGTATCGTTACACGTTAAGTTAACTACTTTCTGGGCTCTTGCACGCTTAGTAACTTGTTAGCATTTCCTAACTTATATTGTTTTAAACCTCATCCCTATTGTTCTAAAAAACTATTGAATTATATGTAAAATAAAATCCGCATTTCTTTACGAGATGTAATCTCTTTTCTTCAACCTTAATTTTTAAGAATCTGGTTCTTCTTATTTTGTGTTGCGCCAGCCGTAACAAAGGATATAACCCATAAATGAAACTGCTTCCAGAATCTAAGACCGTTATTAAGAAACAGCAGAATTTTCCTTAGAAACATGGATATGTTTATAACTCTTATGCAATATCGCTGCTTCTATAAGGCAACAGACATTTTCCGTTGAAAGACCGGTTCTCGTACAATCACCGAAGTTAAGCAACCTCATGCCTGGTCATTGCTTTGTTGGGTGACCGCTTGGAAATACCAAGTGCTGTAAAAATGGATGTGCATGTGGTCTAATGGACAACAGCTCGGAATTGTAAAATGAATATCCGTGTTCCAGTTGGGTTGGATATATTCACTTACTCGCGAATAGTCTTGGAGTTGGTATGAAGCCACGTCTTCTACCCCCACCCCCAAGTATGGGTTAATAGTATGACTTCTAACAGTAAATTATTATTATCTCCAAATATTCTTACACTCTAAAATAAAATTATTTATGGTTCTAAATAACCAGCAAAAGGTTGATAAGCGGTTAACAACACAAATCAATCAATCAATTTAGTTGTTGCGCCGTTATAAAATGGCTTCTGCGGAAGATACGCTATTTTCATCTAAATTTTTAGTCATTATGTTCTGGATAAAAGCCAGTTTGGTGGGGTTATTTTAGTTTAGTGGCATATCAACACCTCTATGGGTTATTTAATGCCGACATGTAAATACGTTATACGCAAATTTATGATTTCAACTAAAAGATTCTTTACATTATTCGGACTATTGTCCTCATCTTTGTCGCCATTTCGGCCTTGTACGCTTCAGAAATTGAACTCACAGTCTTTGAGTCCTGTCACTGGATCTAACTAACGCCTTTATCCACTGTGCCATGTGTCCTTGAGGACATCTGTGTATGAATTTCTGAGTATTATCAACCTAATGTCTTCAGTAACCATTTTTTACCAGTGCTCAATAGCCGGTTAAGCCAGTGGAGAACTTTCAGAGGGAAATTAACAGGAGATAACTGGTAACTGACATCCATTAGACATGGCACGTGGAACTAGAGCAGTCTACACCAGCGAGCGAAATAAAGGGTTCAGTTCGACATTCCAACCACCTGAAGAAGGCCGGAGCGTACAACGGCCGAAACGTTGTAATAAATATGGCGACAAAGATGAGGACAATAATCCGAATAATGTAAATAGTGTACATAACTCATCTCAGAAATATAGACAGATATTAAAAGATTCTTAAATTAAGAAATATTTTCTAGCTAATAAATAATCTGCATAGAGTTGACAAGCCGTTAAAAATATCAATCAATAAACCTGTATACCCGTGAATGCTGGGCATATTCCTCTAAGATGAAAATGTGATATTAGATATATGGCTCAACAAAAGGGAATACCATAAATCAGCGGTTCCCAACGTTTTTGTGCCACGGTCGGGTGTCATGCAAGATTTTTTTTTCACTAGCTAGAGATTGGAGGTCGGTGTCGCGATAGTCAATAAAAATGGAAAATTATGTTATTCTTCCTGTGCGGCCCGGTTTCAAATGATCCGAGGCCAGGTATCTGTTTGCGGCCCGTTGGTTGGGAGCGCTACCATAAACGAATAACGAGGAAATTTTAAGTAAAATGTAATCAAACTGTCTCTTTCTGATTCCGATTTTAATTGTCCTTATAAGGAAATGAATAGTATTAGCTCTTTTTACATTCAGCATTAACATGATCTCTTTTTTACATTCAGTGAGATCTCTTTTTTTACATTCTCTTTTTAGCGAGATCTCTTTTTCTTTTTATTTAGCGAGATCTCTTTTTACATTCAGCGAGATTCAGCGAGATCTCTTTTTACATTCAGCGAGATCTCTTTTTACATTCAGCGAGATTCAGCGAGATCTCTTTTTACATTCAGCGAGATCCCTTTTTCCATTAAACGAATAAAATCAATCAACTTTTGCTCTTCCATCGACAAATTACCAAAGAAAAACCGAAAACCATTGATTTTTCATCAACCGATCACATAATGAAACCAAGGCTCGCTTCTTATTAGAAAATATATTTTATTAGAAATAATATTCTTAATCATTTCAACCTAAGGAAGTTGATAACGCCACCAAGGCGCATAGGGTTACTAGGAGAGAAAGAGAAGGACTAAACTTTAGGAGAAGGAACTGGAAACTCAATCCTAATAAGAATGAATAAATCTCTACGATGAAGGAGAGTGTTCAGTTGTCAATTATTAAGGCATAAACAAAATAAATTTGCTTTCCATATAAGAATTTAAAGAGAACAAAGCTGGTTCCTGCTAAATAGATAAGAACAGAAACTAGCCAGATTTAATTTTGGTTTTTACAGTTGTTTAAACATAAGCTAGCAGTACAGACCCCAAAAGGACTAAATGTTACGTAATTCTCTTCTATTTACGATGGCGGTGCGTCTCATAAACTCTATGTCTTCCAGTTTTTTTTTTTTTTTCTGTAAAAGATCAACCTGTGTCTGAGACCTGACATGGCCATTTCAAAGACATTTCATGACGCATCATTACACTCTGTTGGTCAGTCTGTGCAACTCTGCCAACACCGTTATCGTGGTCTCGAAAGCAAACTTCTTTTCAATGGCCATTTCTTTCATTTTTTTTTGCCTCAAAGGAAAATTACTATTCACCTGAGATAAACCAACGTGGCAAGAATTTAGTTGATTTCTAATGGGTTCCGTGAATCCTGAAAAACACGTACTCAGTGCTGCCGGACGACTTCGCACAAACTTTATTACTGACACAAAAGAAAGAGACAAATATATTTATCCCGGCTGAAACAAGTCGTGCATAATGTCAGCTCTTTCAGAACATACAATGAAAAGAAACTTTCTAAGCCATAAGAAGATATTTACGCACGAACATAGATAGATAAATAAATAGAGACAGAATACTGAAGTCTAGAACTTATAAGAAATATATATATATATATATATATATATATATATATATATATATATATATATATATATAAGTTCTAGCCTTCGAGATATGTATAAGTAAATAAACCCGAAGAGCCAGACTAACCTACCTAGGTTTCACCTACGCGGATCGTCAGGGCGAACTGGCTGCTTACATTTATAAGTTTATTAGTGCTATAGATAGATAGATAGATAGATAGATAGATAGGCATCAAATGACAATTGGAAAAAAATCTTACATTTTGCCGACGCGTGTCGTCTCCCGACTTTTTCAAGGCAAAAATGAAATCGAAATGTTTTTATTGTTATAGTTACATTAAAAATCCAAATTTAAAAAGATAGATGCTTCTGTGTAAGCCTTTTTTTCTGGGAATTAAACAATAGATAGATAGATAGATAGATAGATAGATAGATAGATAGATAATGACCAAATGTAGATAGATAGATAGATAGATAGATAGATAGATAGATAGATAGATAGATAGATAGATAGATAATGACCAAACATAGATAGATAGATAGATAGATAGATAGATAGATAGATAGATAGACAGAAAGAAAAGAACACATTGGACATACGAGAACGAAGATGAAGAAGACAAAAGTTTGAAATCGGTGCAAACAGAACGAGGTAAGTATGAACGTTTATAGATATTGTATATAAAATTTGCTTAAGTAAAACTAGTCTTCCCTTTTTTATGTAATGAAGATATATATATATATATATATATATATATATATATATATATATATATATATATATATATATATAAGATGGCCGGCCTAGCCGTTTCCATAGTAATTAATGTTGCAATGGACAATACTTATAAACACGCGCAAACCACAAAATAGCTTATTCCTAAATTTTCGCTTGAGGACGAAACGGGACTCGACACCTTAATTCAACTTAATTTTAATAATTATATTGATGGTTTCGGCTCTCGTTTTTGAAACATGAGAACTCTTATGTAGCGAAGGAATCATATTTTTAAAAATATATAATATATATATATATATATATATATATATATATATATATATATATATATATATATAATTTATTCGAAAAATTATAACTTATTTTTTTAATTATAATTTATTCGAAAATTATAACATAAATATGTTATAAAATCACTATAAAATAGCCATTTTGTTTCAACACTTGTGGTGTCTTATCAAGTGATGGTCTTGAATGTACACTAAAGACTTTAAAAGGTTCAAATCAACCAAAAACCCATCGATAGGGAAAACGCTGTTACATAAGCTGCAATGACCAACAAGTATATGAGAAGTCAAAAAACTTGACACCGAACCCTGGTTATAATTATTAATGTCTTAATGTTAGGGTTAGGCTAAAATAGAAATTATTCTAATTAAAATTAAATTTTACTATAAAATTGAAAATTAAAAATGACCAAATTTAAATTTTAAATTTAATCTTTGTAAAGTTTAAAATATTATAAAATAATTTAAAGAAGAAACTGAGGAAAAATACATATATTTTATTATTTATTTTGTTTTAACTGAAAGGCCAAAATCTCAGAATAAACGTTAATCTAAAGGGGATTTAAAACTTCGTTACAACTTAGACGCATTTGAAATGGTGATATGAGCAGGAGAGGATGAAATCTCCTAAAAGACAATACACACATAACCAGATTATAATACAAAAACACGTAGACGTATTTAGATATATAAACACGCAAACACACGAAGATAACTGGAAATAGATGTCTACGACCCTAAAAAAACTAGATAACATATACATACAATGAATGGAATATATAAGCGATCATACGCACATACATTAATAAAGATACACACATATACACATCAACAAAGATTCAAGTTTAAAAGTGTTAGTAAACGAATTCAAACAGACTATTAAAATATTACTTACATTGGAAAAGATATACAGATAAAAAGAGGGTTCAATGTATGAAATTCAAAAGGGGTAGAATAGAAAATGGCATTTGACAAAGCAAAGAAAAAAGACGATAAAATATATAGAGATCCTTCCCTGCTCTTCATTAGAATGCCTGACGCTCAACTTCTCGAGAGCAACTCTCTGTGGCTGCTCGGTCTCACGTTGACGGCTGACCTGAGATGGAACAAATACATTGAGTCAATTGCTTCGGCCACCGCAAGGAAAGTTTGCTCCCTGTGCCGCGCCAGGAAATTTTTCTCCCCGGAATCGATCCTCCAGATCTACAAATCAACAATTCGCCCTTGCATGGAGTATTGCTGCCATATATGGTCTGGTGCCCCTTCTGTTTGCCTCGGGGTTCTTGATAGCCTCCAGAGGTGGATATGCAATATAATTAG